CCAGACCCAAAAATCTCATGAGTTCTTTTTTGGTTACTGGAACAGGGAACTCTTTGATGGCCAACACCTTTGCATCAACTGGCCTCACATAACCTTGGCCCACAACCTTACCAAGAAAGGTCACAGTTGCTTTTGCAAATTCACATTTTGCCAGGTTGATAGTCAGATTTCCCCAAACGAATCGTTCAAACAGAGTGCGAATGCGAGCCAGATGATCCTCCCAGGTGCTACTATATACCACCACGTCATCTAGGTAAACGGCACAGCCTTTCAGCCCATTAACAACCATATTCATGAGTCGCTGAAATGTAGCTGGAGCATTGCGTAAACCAAAACCCATGACTGTATATGAATAAAGACCAGATGGCGTGATGAAAGCAGATATTTCCTGAGCTCTGGGAGTCAGTGGCACCTGCCAATATCCCTTCAACAGATCAAACTTGCTCACATATTCTGCTGCACCAACTTGGTCAATACAGTCATCAATATGAGGCAAGGGATAGGACTCGGGTTTGGTCACTGCATTTACTTTACGAAAAGACAAAGCAACGGCAGTTGAGACCACAGACTGATCAACCTCAGCCACTAAGGTCTGCATTTTACGTGGCAACATGCCTTTCTTTACTAATGCAGCCTTCAACACTCCTTTAATCTCATCTTTCAACCGTTTATCTCCAATGTCGACATCGTAATGTTCAAGAGTTGTTCTTTAGTACAACTATTCAAGAGTTCCACCGAGACTGAACAAAAGCATCAACAGTAGCCAACCTTTTAGAAAGGTTGCGCCCTTCCGGTTTGAGTGAATGCTGGCGCGCCTGGCTGCCGCTACTCACGGGTACATTTTCGTTTATTTGGATTCAAATTTGAATGAACAGGGACATTCACACTCAGGACCAGATCGGTCTCTGCCAGGGATTGATTTGCACCGCTTGTCCTCAACATCTGCTATTTCAGCTGAATGTGCTCTGACGTCTTTTTCTCAGTGAGCTGCACTAGCTTAACTGTTTGAACTATTCTAGCCTATCTGTTCGTTGCTCCGGCCGGCTCGGCCCCTTTTCCTCCACATAATCGAAGATGTGGGCCAAGATGTTCCTGAACTGGTCATCAGTATTTTGGATTCTCCTGACACTCGTCTACCCTCCTACAGCTGGACTGCTCCGCTATTCAGCCGCTGAGCTCCTGCGCCTTCGCGCAGCTGTCGCTCCCGTCGCCGGCGGAGCTCCACTACCACCCGGACATCACTTTCCAGCCTCGCCAGAGATGCATCCATCGCAGGTCACGCAGGATTTTCCATAACTCCAATGGAACTAAATTGTTTTGGTCTGCTACTCGCCAACCTCGCAGGAACCCTGATCGGGCTGTCAACCATCGATCTCTAGCCCACCTGCCCAGGGCGCCCACCGCGATTAGCAAAAAAGAAAATACT